CATGTTACTTGGCTAAACTTCCTACTGAGCTTCTCCTACGCTCATTTAGGAACAGATTTCTCTATCTGCACTAGCTCTGGAATTATTATGAAGTCCCACCTTACTACCTGCCTTATGTCTCAATTTATTAGAAAACATGTTAAGTTTTTTTTCTACCACACACCTCATTGGTGAATTGATAACAAATACTGGGAACTGCGTGGTGGATCTTCATCTGTTGTGAAGTGGTATAATTCCATTGAGAACAGCAGTCAATTTTTTAATGTCAGTTTACAGCAAGAGACAGAGAGAGAGCATATTTCTTCCTTTTGACTTCCTGATAGGCGTTCTTTCCAAAAGTCTGATCCAGTGATCTTTGATATCAAATAACAGCTTTCCAATGCTCTAGATGAGATTTTTCTCCCTTCCAACTTACCTGCAGGGCTCTGACCCTCTTCTTTTTGCGTCTTATATGTTATTATGAAAAGTTCTAATATTGAATATTAAAACTGACTGAATGAAAAACTTAATCAAATGTGTATCCATGTTGAAAATGCATATTGTTCTGATATTTCGCCATTTTGATTGTTTCAGTGCACACCTTCATCGGATTTTTCTCATTTTATAGTAGCTTACAAAACAGAGGGACGTGGACACATAAGCGTTAACCTTCTGCTGTAGATCCACACAGAGCTTTTGTGAAGCATCCTCAAAATCTGGGGTTGGGCATTTGATGCTTCTGACCAAGACAGAGTAAAAGGGAATATGGATTACAGGGTGACAAACCAGTTCATATCTGTTCAGATAAAAGAAGTTCCAGCTTTTTTCTTTTTTTTTTTTTCCTTTGTATGAGAGGAAAATGTTCAGAAGCGCCTAAGTTACTGAAGAACAAAGGAGGTATAGGAATGCTGTCAACAGGATTAAGTATATACAGTTGTCTTTCTATAAATTTGGTGCTCCTTTATGCTAACAGCACTTTTGAAAAGGGGACATGTGCCCTTTGGGGTGTATTTAGGCTGCCTCTTAGGTTTTTAGAGGTAGAGTTGTACCTCACACTATGTGTTTAGATTTAAGAAAGCATTCAAGAAGCAATTTGGATAAGCTACTTTATCAGGTGACCTGGCTCCGGAAGCATCCTTGTATCATGATAAGTTCCTTTAGGGCTGAAATCAAATCAAAAGTTTATGCCTAGGGGTATTGTTTGCCTCTGAACCTCCAGCAACTCAGCTCAGTCAGGGAAGCAGCTAAATAGACCTGAGGTGACAGCTTTGCTTTTGCACAGCGGGCCAGTGGTCTGAGCATGCGCCCAGGAAGATGTCGTATGCTTGCTGAGCATGCAGAGTTAGGCTTTGCTGCTCCTGCTTCCCAAAATAGTACTTTAAACTCCAGAATAGTGTGCAGCATAGGTTGGTGTAATGAGTTAATCCTGTAGCTAAACACTAATTAGGAGTTTCTTCCAGACCAGAGAAATTACCTTCCTGGTTATTGCAGCCAGATATGGTCAATTTTTCCCCATTTGGGCCGGGCAACGGAAAATGGAGCTCCAGCACATGAGCAGTCACACAGATTGGTTAACAGTATTTCTAAGCATGTTCATTTTTATATTTCTCTTAGGACAGCTATATTCCTTTCCCTCTTTTTCTCCTTCCCCTCCCTCCCACCAAACAGACTGGTGTGTTAGCACCTGGCTATGTGGTGAATCGCTAAGCCCTATGGATGGTCGCTGACCTGAGAGATCGTTTCTCACCACGTTCCCGGGGAAAGAAAAGCATTTCTTGGAAAACATGTGCTCCGTTTCCTCACGCTTATCAGCATGAGAGCTGTAACTGCCAGCGATGCCGACTTCCATGTTTATCACAGAAACAAATGTTAACAAAAGCCAAATATTTATGAGGAGCACTGAAACCTAAATAATTTAAGGTCTCTGAAAGTATCGCTTTCAGGTGTGTCACTCCTCACTAACAATTTATTGCTGCTATTCCAGCCATGACTGTTATTTCATTAGTCCGTAGTTGTTGGAAAGCCAGGCTTTTTTCACACCAGTAAGTTGACACCATTAATTATTATGAGATGAGAATGCATTTAAAAATAAAATGAACACTCTGGGTATAATTTACAGGCACAGCACATGAATGCCATTGCTGAGGAAGATAACTCCTTTTGAGGCGTCTGAATTTGTTCCAGCATATGGAGCGTTCACTTGCCCGGCAGTAATATTCAGGCAATAACCTCTGAAATGCACTGCATTTCTGGAGTACGTAGCATGGCTTGAGGCCAGAGGCCAACTCACATCAGCGACCCAAGAAGTGCAATAATCCTCGCAGAAATTCTCTGCTTGGTTGTGTCTACTTGCTATTATGAAAAGGAAATTATCTGGGGAAAGGGTCAGACCTTTGCGTTTATTGGGATTGCTGACAGAGCAGAGGCATCACTGATGGACAATCAGAAAATTTGAAAGGCGCCCAATCTTCAAAAGTTATTTTCTGATTTTAAAGAGACACATAGATACTTTCCATAAAGACAATGCTTGTGTAAGCTTATTATTACAAATCTGATAGATTTGCAAATGGAAACAATTTCAAAATGTGAGGTAAGGTGATACGTTACTCTGTGCAGGGTATGTTGTGAGGTGGCTCACCAGCTCTCACGTATACGGACACGTCTCTGCAAATGAACGCGCAGCGCTGCCTTCTGGGTATTCAGCTACCAGGACGCCACAACTCTGCAAGTGCCACGGCAGGGAAAGATGTGCACCGGGAGAGAGGCACAGTTGCCTGATATCACAAGAGAAAGGCCACGTTACCTTAGCTAGAGGGTCTACCTACACCAGTATTTTTCTCTCCAGCAGTGGCCTACAGCAGATGCTCAGGGAAAATGTGCAAGTGAAACAGTGCCTGTCAGGAAATAGAGTAAGACACTGTTACGCTGGCTGTGGCACATCATGAAGGTGAGTGTGCTGCTATGTGCGTGGGGCTGAAGGTATCTGACCCACAGCCCCCACAGCGATGCAAGGAACCAAACTGGCCAGACCAAGTTGGGCTGCAGCGCAGGTGTCTGGGCAGGGTCCTGAGGGCCCTGCGCATTGCTGCTCTGCCTTGCCTCATCCTGCGCGTCGGCTCGCAGAAGTACAGGAGCCTGATTAGCGCTTTGCATTCATTACTACTGGTACAAAACTTGCATCTCTCTCTCTCTCTCTCTCTTAGCTTGGAAAAGATTTGCATTTTCTGGTTGTTTTCAAATACTTACTGAGCAGTTTCCCTTGGTGGTTCCCATGTACCACCACCACCACCAGAGCTGCTGATGCTGCTGGGAGTGTTGTGGCTGACGTGTTTTCTTTGGCAGTGTTTCCATTCCTTATTTTCTGGAAGGAAGGCTGGCCTTGACTACAGAGAGATTGAGCTAAATGAAGAGTTTGAAAGTGCAGTTACAAGCAAGCGTGTCAAGGAGGAAGGAGCACTGGATAACACTCATTTCAAATCCAGGTAATCTTGTTCTTTTTAGCTCCGATTCCAAGTAGTTGGAGTTGTCTTTGCACAAACTTGATGCTTTGGCCCTCAAAAAAAAAAATCTAAAAAATTTTTCAAGTAGAATCATTTTGCTAAGTTAAAGATGTTAAAGTCAGAAAGAGGCAGACTGCAGCGTTATCTGTAACGTTGACAGGCCAGCTGCTTGCTTCTAGCACTTCAGGGACTTTTCCAGTATCTTTTGAAAAATAATGGTAATTTGGGTTCACCTCAAGGTTTAGAAGTAAATTCTGAGTTATTTTTGATTTGTCACTATCTCTTGAATTAGTCCTGGAGGAGCAACATTAGATTGCATTTTGAGGAAGTTGAACAGCACTGTAGTACGTGTTTGGAAGGAAAACAGCAGAACATATGAGAAAAAACACATGAGGGTTATGCAGTTTTGCTGAGGATAACTGATTCCAGTTGAAGGAAACATCTATCTCCAGTAAATATATTTAAATATTAAATATATATATATATAAAAAATAGGAAACTAATACACCTACAATAGTTCCCTAAACAATATTTTAGAGCTGTGATCTCCCTGAGTCTTATCAACCTGCTGTGAATCCTGTTGTGCATGGGTTTATGCCAACAAAACTCTCCCACTACTCAGCGTTTCCTTTATTTCTAGCTGTGACCCTGTTCTACGATGGCTATTTTTTTTAAGCTAACTTTTCTTAAACTTTTTATTTTTGTACCTAGCGTATTTATGAAATATAGAGGCTCTTTCCCAGCACAGTGTATTGCAAATAGTCCCTGGCCGCTGGAACGCTCTTGACGAAGAGAGTTCAGTTTCTCACAGAGGTTGTGCCAATTATAAGGATTGTTTTTTCTGATTCAGAATTAAATCTCCCGTAAGACAAGGGGAAGAAGGAAGGTCTCACCGCTGCGACCGTGGAGCTCTGGCGTGGGTTGTCAGCAGCACCAGAGAGTGTGCCTGACCTTGGGCAAGTCGGCTAGGGTTAGACCGGCATGCGTAGCTGGGCTTTGTCATCCTTGAGCCCTGGGAAATTTCTCCTCACTGTAAAAAGCAAAAAGGCCCAAGGGAACGGGATATGACACTCTCCACACCTTTACCTCTCTACTTATCTTCCTGTAAGGGCTCAGAGAGTCTCTGCATTCCCGTAGTGCGTTATTTGTAGGACAGT